AATATAGAAGAAGATTTGTCTGAAGATATTGTTAGAAATGATGAAGATTCAGAGGATACAAATAATAATGACAACTTATATGATAATAGTGATGATTTTAATAATATTGATAATGATACACAGAATTTGAGCCTTAACGAAACTGCTGAAATTCTTAATATAGAAGAAGGAAAGGATGATTTAAATATGAGCACATAGCGTAAGTTTTAATTTTTTAACCTTTATTTTTTATTTATTTGTTCTTTCATCTTTTTATTGTTACAATTAAATATTTTTTTTTTTATCTTAGAAACTGCTGAAATTCTTAACATAGAAGAAGGAAGGGATGATTTAAATATGAGCACACTGCGTTTTAATTTTTTAACCTTTATTTTTTATTTATTTGTTCTTTCATCTTTTATTTTTACAATTAAATATATATATTTTTTTTATCTTAGAAACTGCTGAAATTTTTAACATAGAAAAAGGAAAGGATGATTTAAATATGAGCACATCGCATAAGTTTTAATTTTTTAATCTTTATTTTTTATTTATTTATTTGTTCTTTCATCTTTTTATTTTTATAATTAAATATTTTTTTTTTTTTATCTTAGAAAATGAATTTTTTAATTTTGAAAACGAAGAATGGAATATCTATGAAAATGAATATGATCATATGATTTTGCAACAAATTATTCATAATGATCAACTAACATATCAACTTACTAGAGATAACAATAGTATTGCAGATGACAGGGGACAACTTATAGAAAATAAGGTTGTAATAATTAGATAATTTTATTTAAATAGTAAATCACGAGTAAAGGGTATAAATATTATAGTAAAAATTGGCAAAAAATTGCTTATACTTTTTATAATGTTGAAATACTAAAAGTTTTCAAAATATATAAAATCATATTGTCACGAAAGAGAAATACTAATAAGTTATGATTTACTCAATTGATTTTAATAATTCTGTTACAATTAAAGTAGAATAATTTGTTCTATAATATTTGAGATTTATTTAACTAAAAAAAAAACTTTTCATTGCTAATAGCTACATTCAACCTTATATCTATATTAATTTCCAGCTATTTTAACTATTAAATTTTTATTTTTTATTCTCTTTAATTGCGATTTACCTCTTAGTTATTTTAAAATTTATTAACTATAGCTTAAAATCTTATATATAATTAGAAAAATTCAGAACTAACCAATTTAGGCTTTATTTCTTACAAAAAACGGCGTCTTTTAGATCTTCAAGCTTCAAATAGTCTAACTCATCATGAGATTTACTGTCAAGTTGCAAACAGGAATCTCGAGGATTATCGTTCTAAAATAGAATATCAAATACATACAAAGTACAATATCCAAAAACGTAATTATAAAGTCAGTGATTTAGTAAAAATACAAATTGCTAAGATTAATTGTGGATCTGGTGATTATTGTGCACTTCCTTGTAAAGTGTATTTTGTGCTTCCTAATAATATGTATCGTCTAATATGCTCATTTGGAGTTCTCAAAAAAAGTATTTCCTGCTGGAGAAGTTTTGCTACTTGGGTCAAAAGAATTTCCTGAATTAGACTATCCCCGATCTATACAACTATTAGTATTATTAAAGCTACAAGATTACAATCTAATGCCCTTGCTAGCAATAGAGTTTGCAATTGTAGAGACAACTGTCTTACAGCAAAATGCATTTGTAAAAAAGCAAACATTTTGTGTGGAAATAGATGTCATTCAAAAAATTCGAAATGTAAATACAGAGCTTGAAAGTTGTAT